AGGCAGAAAAATTGAAATATTCTCTTCCCTAGTCCATGGATACACCCTTTCAGATTTCAACTGCTATCCACTTTCAACATTTCAGGGCATGTTTTACGTGACAGAACTCAACTAATCTGGGTACACACAAATGCTAGGACATAGTTTATTTGCCTGTTAATCTCTTCATATACAATAAGAGCAAAACCTATGTAATCTATATTTAATCTGTAATTCATAATCTATTTTAAGGGAGTGAACTCTACTTTTGCTACAAAACAGTTAGGTAAGGTGTGTGTATTCAGGAGCAGTGGTTTCAACCTCTCATGGTACTGAATCAGTTGCTCAGCTGTCCTCCCATCTCCCAGGGTATACCATCCCCACCAGGACACACTTCTGCCATGGGAGAATCCTCTCTGCTGTGTTTGGAAGCTCGTCACTGTGTAGCACAGTATGCAAAGCTAACAGGGACACTGACAGATGAGGGACAACAAGAAAACACACCCCAGGAGCACTCAAACATCCTAGACCTTCATTCAGTCTACTAACTATATGGCTACACTGAAGTTAGCATCAACAGATCAGACAAGGCAAAAAGTTCTTTATTGACCCTAACCCATCAAATGCCTAATTAATTAATGAACTGTAATACATAAGTAGAGACAAGAAAGTCCAGTGGCTTCTGAAAAGAAAGACTAAATTTTGCTTTCTACCTCAAAAGCACCTTCAGCCAGAAAGAGTTGATCCCTCTTCATAATAAGCAGCCACTGGGCTGTGCTGTATCTGCCTCTGTCAGACCACTCTGTCTGAGACGAACAGTGATCATCTGCAAACTCTTTGTCATCTCTCTTCCCAAATGCAGCCTAGCACTTTATACTCTGACAATTACCATCACAGGTTATATCCACTGGAAAAAAACCAAATATCTAACAATATGCTAAAACAGCTGGTAAGAAATGTGAGTACAAGGAAATAAGACAGCAGGGCTTGGGTAAATCAGAATGGTTTATACCATGAGCAGCTATGTAGAAGGTTGTTTCAGATGAGAAAAAATTGGTAACCTAGGCCTATGCAAAGAAAAGCTAGAGCCAAGCTTGAAGAAAAAGCCACTGATGTATATTTGAACTAAGCTGAAAAATGTCAGTGGTTTTATATTTAATACCTTTATTTCTAAAATAAAAGATTTGTGAATTGTAAACATTCAGGAAAGAGTATAAGCCAATAAAATTGAAAAGTGACAGATTTATGGTGACTAAAACATTTGATTTGAGCAGCAGGGATTCCAATTTACAGCTCACTGCACCACTTAGAACAGTTGTTCATGTCTGTATTTTCTGTAGTTTAAATAAAATAACCATATACATTCAACATCCAGGTATGCATAAGGAATAACAGCAACATCACTAATTAAATACCTGCTTGTCTGAAAACCAGAGTGAGTAAAATATATACACTGCATGCATACAGGCAAAATAAAGGAGTTGAGTGGGGGAAAAAAAGCAGAAAAAGTTTAAAAATTAAGCAGATAATACAAAAAAAAACCAGTTTTAGCATCCTTTTTTTACAAAAGCTCACAATAACAACGGTCACATTAAGTGCTAAACTAGCCTTCTTTATCCAGTTTTAGTTGTACAATATAGAATAAAGTCACAAAATATTTGAATGTCATAATGTTCGGAATCTACTGTTCTTCCCTTATATTTTCTAGAACAAAAAAGGCACAGAAAATTTCTCTTTGAACTTCTCCGTTCTATGACAAAATGCCCACTGAGACTCATAAATCCTAATGCCATTTAATCAGTCTGAAATAATTTTAATGAGCTCTCTCTAGATTTGGTACAGAGATTATTTGTAACTATGGGATCAATTAATTAATTAAAAATGGAAGAAACTGCAAAGAAATAGTGTTTTAAATTAAGACAATGATTTACATCACTTGGAACTTTTAAAATAGAACAGATTGATTTTTCGTAAGAGAGTTACGGCCATTTGTATTATTACCATCTATCCCTCTGTTTAAAAAGTGAATATAAATGGATTTATTTGCTTTTAAGCTACTACTGAGGTCCCTTATTTTACAGAAAAGCATAGGCAAATCAACCAAAATACTGGAAAGAAATGCCTTAGCCTTCACCCCTTCATCAGGAAGTTAATTAATCTGTGCAGTTTTGATAACAGAAGTATATCAGAAACATGTATAAATGTTGGCATGCGGCTGTTAGAAACCCTCTGATTTAGAGCCATATTTAAAATAAATTTATTTGTGTACCATTTTTGTTATTGTGAAACAAAACTTCTTCAAGATAGCGCTGAAAAGTTATAGTTGATATATAGATATATGTATAAATTATAAATATATTCAAGAACACCATCATTTCTATACATGTACAGCTCCAGATAATTTTCATATGCTTCATAATTTTCATAAGTTGAATCTGTGCATTTGACAGAAGAATTTGGAATATATTTAAAAAGTAAATTTTCTTAAAATACAAAATTTCTAGTATTTAATTTCCAGATCATATTTTGATTATCTGACTGATTTAATTAATTAATTATATGTCTGGACATTGTTATTAGTGTTGGAAGATCATGTGGTGCTTCATGCAGCAAAAGATAGGAGACAGGCTGAATTTGCAGAGTGTACCTTTTTTGAAATTCCTGTGCTATCATTTTATCATTATGCTTATTAAGTTCCTAGTTAAGCAAAGACTGCAAATCAAGAGGTCAACATTTAAGAAATTTCAAAGTGTATATTTATGACATCTTTCACTGATAGCAAAGCAGATATCATATCCATTTATGTATCACTTAAATAGTGTTCTACTTGCAGAAGTATGCCTGCACAGCAATAGCCACTGGCTGATATGATATGACAGCTAAATTCTGGGTTTGGTTTTCTCTGTGTTGAGGTTTGGTTTTCCCTATGTTGACATTGTATTTATTTCTAACAGCAGCAACAAAGTTTTGAAGCAAACTTGAAAGTTCTCACTTTCTCCCTGATAGTTGGTTTCACTGTGTAGTTTTGGTATGTACTGGGTTGCTCTAGCCAGCAGCTCCGGTGAAAGTTCCCTGCAGGCACTCATCAAGCAACCTCCAATATTTAAGAATACATAAAACTCCAAAGAACTTTATCTCAGCCTGGGATCACAGTAAATCCAATCCATGGAAATATATAGCACAGATATATGGGTCTAAGCACTACCTATGATGCTCTAACAACCTGTTTTGCTTGAGTCCAAATGTTTGCTTATGTAGACATTGGCTTTACCCCCTGATACTTTGCTGCAGCCTTGCATATTAATGATTGTTGGCATGAAACCCAAACCTGTAGTTCTATTAGTTCACTGCTTGGGACAAAACACTGCAGATGACACTATTACACTGCAACCGGTCACAAAAGTTTTGGATAGTTTCTCATGCACTGTTTTCATTTCCTTCCTCTTGAGAATTCTGGGCATTTATGAATTTCCCGCACTTTAATATTTGTGGCTTTTGTAGATGAAACAAAAGTAAAAGTTCACCTGAATTATCTGCACTAAGGAAATTTGATGCTGTAAACTTCTTACAAAGGAAAAAAATGGACTCAAACATGTATGCCCTTCTTCAAAGAAAAGCTAACAAAATTAAAAATATACAACTACTATTAACAATCCGTGACTTTGATTATCTAACATACCTTTAAAGTTTAAAAATATTAAGTGTAATACAGATGCTACTATTTCTTAATATATTTTTTTAATGCTAACACAACTAAAGAATACAAGTATCTACACACTGTCACTGGTTCCTGGTTTTGTTGCTTCCTTTTGGTTTGGTTTTAAATTTTTTGTTCTTTTTATGTATTACCATCTTGTGGGTTTTCTAAACTAGAACCACATAAACAAAGAGTTTTGGAAAAGCTGTCCTGCTTCTCCCATGAAATTATAGTTTAATTTGCCATTAACACAGCTGGCATTCAATTTCCTTGGTTATGAACATTTGGTGTATTATTTCTGAACATGCAAGCTTACAAATGAAGTAGATTCATGCATACAGAACATCAAAATAAATTGCAACAGAAAAAAAAATTCAAACCAAACCAAAAACCCAAGCCCAGTTTGGTTAACTGCTCAAAAGAAAACCATACTGCACCCAAATTAACTCATTTTGTATTCCCAGGCAATGAAAATACCATTTAAACTCTGGGTGAGAACTTGAAGTATGAAAGGTTAGGAATCTTAGCTAATAATTCCATATGTACTTGTGTAGCCTTTTTTTCCCCCGAGAGAACGGTAATCACAGTCTAATCTACGTAAATTTCTTCCTTAAAATTAGCATGCAACACATTTTTCTGCAGTAATGAAAACAACTCCAAAACTTCAGAACTTGCATTCCACTTGCAACAGAGAAGAAGTGAGAAAAATATTTGGAGGATAAAGGCAATTTAATTTAAAATATAAATTAATACATTATTTTAACTAATTCTCAGTTTACATGAAATTTTCTCCCTACAGATTTCTACTTCAGAATAGTTTGTAAAGTTATATATAAGACAGGAAAAATAAACACATCTACTATTTGAGAAAGATTGCTCAAATGATAATTTTAAATTGGAAACAAGGACTATAATCTCAGAGATTTAGACTGCTAGTGGAAAGATATAGCTTCAGAAAAATGTATGTCCTCATCACAAAGAACTATACTTAATGATTCTACACTTAAGAGGTAAATCAGCCATGAATGTGTCCAAACTCTGAATAGTGAAGTTAAGCTTCCAGATTTATTTATACAGCAGAAAATCATTACACTTTTCTGTTACTGCATGCTACCATGTAGCAAATCAGAGCAATCTGCATAATGAACTCTAGATGCAGTGGATGGAAATTCCTCTCTTTGATAGCACAAACATCTTTGAAAATGGGGGTTGCTGATTTTAATAATGCTTATATTAATCTAAGTCTTTATCACATTAAAAAAAAAATCCATATATAGCCCAAACAGAAAATTCCTAAATTTGATTTGTGTCCTCCCCCTCTTACCTTCTCTGGTGGTGCAGGAGGTTGAAATCTCTTTGCGCAAAGTAAAAATGGATCAGGATGTGGCTTGCCACGCTTCAACTCAGGATCCTCTCCCAACACAATATGATGAAAAAGACTAAATAAGTCTTTGTGTCTGGTTGTTTTTATCTCAAATGACACAACACTCGCGCTGGTGGCAACACCTATGGGTATCTTGTGTTTGTGTAAATGACGGACCAGCTTATTCACCCCTGCAAGACAAATATAAACATTTTAGTTTTTATAAATATGCATATAAGTTGGTATATGTATTAATCTTTATACCTAATTACAAAGCATTTACCAATACTTCAGCAACGCTGTCTTACTGAATGTAATAAACCTATTTCAAACAGCCAGTGTAAAAGAAAATTCTTGCTATATCTGAAATGTTCCTTCTATACTCAAAAATCATGGAACATTCTGTAAAGTTATATACATACTTTTTCTGTTATCAAAGAATGCTTTTCTCAAAATCTGTCAAAAATGTAATTAAGACCACTACATAATGAGACCCACTAGAAAATCATTAAGCAATGTCCCGACATTTTGTAAGTTTATTAGTTAAAACTCCAAGAGTTTGGGAGAACATTTTCATTCATACACAGTTATGCTCCTGGGGAAAAAAAAAAATCAAAGAAGTATACTTTTCTCACTGGATTGCAGAATTTTAATTCCTGAAGTAGGTATCCAGCTGGCTCAAACCAGCCCATAAGAGAGCTCAGTTTCTCTCTTTTGCAATTACTAAAGCAAGTAACACTAGGCAGAGGAGAGCAGCTGTCAGTCAGAGTTGTTAATACTGGAGCTTTATCTATTGATGCTGTGAACCCAGAGTAATGAACACCTCAAGCCTAATGGGCAGAAACTTCAATCTGATCCAGTCTTCTAGAGAAGGTTAATGCAGTGAACAGTGAAAACACAACCAGTCTGTGTAAGAGGGAAACATACTTTGTTATTCGGTGCATGTTTTGTGTTTTCTCTGAAGGGGTTTTAATGCTCCTTTGCTGAAGCATCCTAATGCTGGATACCTTCCCCAGACAAAACAATTAGCATTATTTTGTGAAGAACAAGTGTGGATGTCTGGTCTTTATAAATTCCCAAGAGAAAATCCTCCATAGCTGTAAAATCATTTCAGCTGTGCTTTTTGGCATTAATCCCAACTGTACTGGACACAGGATATTAGTTTCAGGTAGTTTAGGTTCAAGTAGAGTCCAGTGGAATTTTGGCTCCTTGAAACAACTTGAGCACAATTCTATTTTCATGTTCCAACTACATTAATTCTTATCCTATTTTTCATGCCTGGTTATAAAAGAATAATCTTATTCCCTTCCTGCTGATTCACTGTCATCGTTATAGCTGGTCTCCACTCCCTTAAACCATTCCTACTCCTCCTTTGCCACCTCAGCATCTCTGATTTGTATTTCCCTTGTGATCCAGCCATTCAATTCTATAAACAACCTGTTATCTGCCCTACATTTTTCCCAAGTATAGTCATATGCTCAACTTTGACAAGCTGTATGTACCACTGATAACAAAGTGTGTAGATTAGTGAATAGGTGCAGTAACTAATCTATCTGGAAATAGGACCTGTAAGTATGACTCTCTGCAGATTTCTCATTTATTCTCCAGAATTAAATCAAACAATTAATAACTGACATTTCCAGCTCCATGCTTGTATTTGAAGATGACCTTTAAACTTTAAATACATGCACTTCTCTAATGTTAGATTTTGAGATGGACAGATATAACAAGCAATACTGTTCCTCTAAGGTCAATACATCAGCTGTTTAAAAGCCTTCTTATGCTCCGTTAAGTGGTTATGCTAAGCAAGTGCACTTTTTCCCAAATGATGCTACTGTGTCCTCTCAGTAAAATACGATGTTAAATACAAGCCAGCTTTTTATTCCAGATAGTTTATATCTTCATTCTGAACCATGTGAAGTAAGTCTCTATTAAATTAATGGAAGCACTGATTCCTTAATGTAAAGCAGTAGTATAAGTGTCTCTTCCCTAAAATAAAATACATTCATTCTAAGGAATTTAATAAACTGGAATGTTTAGCAAGGCTAGCATACATAAATATTGTAACATAAAGCAGTCCAAAGATTACACAAGCAGAAGACTCTTCCTATCTCCTATGCCCTTGCTATGATATGGTTAATTTTCTCTAAAGTTGTGCTCTTTTCAAATAGCTAATTTTCTTCAGTCCCACTGCATCACAGTTTCAGTTCATCTCTCACTGGGTATGCTTATTCTATGTTTCTGTTGGAGGCAGCCAGTTAGAGAGAAGCACTGTTGCAGAAAGGTTATTTCTCCAGGGTTCTCTCATGTATTCCTCGAGCATGTCATGATTTCAGTGTGTAAATGTGTATGCATGTGTGTTTGATTTCTTTTTTTGGCTTCCATCACAACAAGGGAGCTAAAATGCAGTTGTCCCTAATATCTCCAGAGAGAAAATATTTACATTATTCAGAGAAGATGCCACTTTAAAAAGTATTATTTGCATACATGTAAATAGAGCAATACAGAAAAAAAAAAAAAAATCAGGGGCCAAATCAGCTGCCCAGAAAAAAAATTAAACTGCATTTGGAAGAATAGCTAGCATAACATGACAAGCTCAGAACAGTAGCAGCTGAAAAATATTTTCATTTCATGTTTGCTTTCCTCTTTGTAAAAGCTATAGATCCGCAAAATCCATTTTTGTTTGCATCAATTACCACCAGTTTAGTTCTAGACACTTTGCCACCACATCAAATTACTGACACAATTATTTTACTAATTCAGCATATAATTCTTCATTAAGAAGATAATATCTTCCTTAGTATCTTTCTAATGCTATTTTTTTAAAGAAAATGTCACCAGAAGGGGAATTGAGGAACTGTTTTAAAGATCTGTAAGAAACTTCCCCTGGCAAATACTACGTCATTATATCTTCTATAGCTACAAAGATTTTTCAATGAAATGACAATTAAAACCAACCAATTCAAAACTCAATGGCAATGAAGAAGTATACTGAAAATTCCCATGATCACCCTAACTTCTAACTTACTTGTGGTAACATGTAAGGGATCATGGCCCACCCATCCCAGAGGGACCCCTCTGCTAGACTTGGGACTCCCTTCCACCATTCCTACTGAAAGCTTAGTAATATAGAGCAAGAACAAAAATTCAAGAAATATAAAAAGAAAAAAGCATCTCTGTTTTTTTCATCATAAGAATACACTTCAAATGTGGCACGCAGGCAATAAATATGCCCACAGGCAATAAATATCTTCTGCAGAACAACATAAATTCTTCAAATAGTTATAAAAGAATTAGGAATAAATATCCAATATTGCTATGATTTATTTCCAAATGTACTCTTGCTTTTAGGTAGTAAAAGAGGTAAGTACTCTTTAAATAAGAAGTTTTAGATTGACACAGAACCTTAATATGCACTAACTGTTACAGTTTAGCATCAGCGACTGTTGCACAGAAAAATAGGTGAAAAGAATTGTAAGCAGACTTTTGTTACAGAAGCTGAAAAGAAGGAGGATCAACTTTAAATGTCAGAATCTTTAAATCACAATTAATGACAAATGTCAATGAAGTTATCAACTTCGAGGGAAAAAAGAAAACTAATTAAACAAACAGAAAGGACCTATTTCTTCTGAGACCACAGACATATTTAAAAGGAAGAAAATGGCTCTCTTGTTCTGAAACTTGCGGAAAAGCATATACATTATTTTATTTCTTTGTAAAATGAACTTTTATCCCTCCATTAGATTCCAGATGTGGTGTTCTCCTTAGGTTCAGCTGATATCATGGTGACTAATACACTGGATCAACTCCCAAACTAAAAATAAGACTTACACTGAACAACAAAACCCTTGGGCTAACTGTCACATTTTCCTTCTAATTGACTAATACATACATGTACACCAAGAGTTTGGGAAACCAAATAATGTTACACTAAAATGATCTAATGAGAATCCCTATCTAATTATTTACAAGCTATTACAACACTGTTTGTACATTATTCCTTTTAAGCTACCACATTTTATAATCAAATGACATTATTGATCATGAAGTGAAAATTAACAAGATGAAACTCCTGAAAGCTAACTCAAATTGATTGAAAGCAAAGGGAATTATTTTTTTCCTTTTAGCTTCATATAAACATAATCTGTGTCATGCACAATAGTTCAGAACAGTGAACAGCACATACATTTTTGTTACATTTCATTTTATATAATTTCAAAATTTTGTACCATCCCTTTTCTTGTATTTAGCTATGCCTGAACAAAACACTGTTCTTAACTTGTACCACTTCCATTTATACAGATTCAGATTTATTTATTTTAAAATGCTTTCAGATAAAGAAGGAAAGACTATAAAGCTCTTCTATTTTTTTCAAATGTTAATTTCCAACCAAACTTTAATCTATGAACATTATACAGTAGTATATAAGAATACTTTTCAAGATAAACAAGAAAATTATCTCCACGATAAACTGGAAAAACACATGAGATTAGGAAAAGAATTATACACACGACTTCAGGACTGAACCCTAATTTCAGTTTCCTCTGTTCCCCAACTGAATGTCTCTTGTGTTGCATATTGGTAAAACCTTACAAAGGGAAGGCCTTATAAAATCATGGCTCAGGCCTGTTACTTTGGTTAAGTAGAAAAGGACTGAGGGAAAGACTCAGCTGAATTAGGGGTTGAAAAACAAGCTATGTAACCATGGCATGCTCACACCCTGGTGTATGGTGGTTGGATTATGTTTACAAGTATGTAGCTGATAATGGGCTAAGTGCTTAAAAAGGCCTGGTTTTTGCAATACAGCAGCTCTCCTTTGCACCTGCCTGGGGACTTTGTGTCACTACGGACCCTCGCTCACCCACGCTGGTGTTTATATTTCTGCTTGCAGTAGATTGATTTGAAGGCATAACACCATCATACAGACAATCCCACAGCAAGCTCTGACAGTACCTTAGCCTGGAAATCCACTGTTTGATGTCTTATACACACAGCTGAAGTCCTGTAGTTTTCCAGCTTCAGGAAAACAGCTGGTTTGTGTACTGTCAGCACAGAGTGCAGGAGCACATAAATACTCAGACTTAAACAGACAGCCCCCCTGTCTTCTCTAATGCCTCAATCCTAAAAAGATGAATATAAGCTATGTAAGGAAAAAGCCCTTAAAAATTAACTTCACAAGACCTTGTCTCAA